TACCTTGTTTTGTTCCGTCTTGAGGCCTTTGACCTCTCCTTTGTAGATCCAAGGTTCTTGGATCAACAGAACGCCCAACTTATCCGCTGTGAACCTGCTCGTAATCACCGCTGAGGCCCCCGCCGCGTGATGCAGGTTCACTTGGGCAACTTCCACGTCGACGGCCATTAAGGTAGTGGCTCGAGGGGGGCATGTCCACATCCCCTCCGTCGTTCGCGCTGCTGTCCACTTGGTCGTGGTCCTCTAGTCCCTCGAGGAGTTCCTGGGTGGAGGGTAGCTCGGTTTCCTGGGCATCCAGGACGTCAGCGGTAGCGACCTTCGTGGTCTGCTCAACCCTGCTCACGCCCGGTTGTTTTGCCACGGCGTCCACCTGCATCCTCTCCATCTCCTTGCTTGCCATCGTTCCTGTCCGTGTTGACGCGCTACCACTCGGCTGGGTGGCAGTCTTCCCGTCCTCCTTGCTTCCTGTGGTCACGGGTTTGTGCGGCCTCATGACCACCATGCTGAACCTGTAAAACAGGCGGAAGCTCGCTGCACGTATGTACCTGTACGATTCATCATCTATGTACAGGTACAGTCTCCATCCTCGTAGATCTCCTTTGTCCTCCAGCTGGCTACTGACGACTCGCCAGGCCGCGATGCTAAGGCCCCGGTTTTGGTTCTTGATTAAGTTCAGGGCAAACTGGTACGGCTTGTCGTCGCTGCGGGGGAGGAACACCGTCATCCTGTGCATGACCGGCAGGTCCTCCGCCCTTTTTGCACAGAGGACTGGACCGGTCCAGCCACTTAACTTTGGGGTAAATTCCCGCAGCCAGTCGGCGGACGCCTGGTCATTGCAGTCCACCTGTAGCATGCCACCTCTAAATTCAACTCCGAGAAAGGACGCCGCGTATTCAGCTCCGCCGGCTACCTCTTCCAGGAGGAGGTTTTGGAGCACCGTGAGCTGCTCCGACTCCAACGACACCGCCGGGTAGGCTTGAGGCAGTACAGCCATGCGGATGCCTTTGACAGCGTCCGCATACCTGCGCCGCCCCTCCTCCACCCGGGGGGAGCCGGTGCTGATGGTTGTCCTTCGGCTCTCCTGCTGCTGTCCCTCAGCCTTTTCGAACTGGGGGCGCCTGTGGTGTCAGTTGACCGCTCTTCCTCTTTACGGTCTCTGCAAAGGTGACCGCCTTCCCGTCACCGCGCTTTTCGGTCAGTGATGCACTAACCTGGCCACGGTCTATAGACCGGCTGCCTTGCGCACTTTCCGACGCTGCTTTGCCCCGTTCCCTTGTTGGGGATATCGCGGTATCCGCGTACCGTCGCTTGGCCAGGGATTCCGCCGCTTCGGGGGTCATCCCATCCCGGAGGTACCGCAGATACCACTTGAGGCAGGCACCGCTCATGGCCTTCTTCCGAGGGTCATCATACCCGCCGTGTCTGTCCGCCGTTGGGAGAGATCTCTGCCCCTGAGTCCCCTCCTGCGCCTCCTTCTTCTCCTGCGTGCGCCACCGGCCTCTGCCCGATGCGACTCTCCCGAGTCTTGAGTGGCTAGGCCTATTTCGGTGGGTCCTGGTGGTGCCTTGGCGCGGCATCAGCGCTTGACGTCCAATTCGGCGGGGTGTTGCTAGAGGGCATGTCGTCTTCGTCCTCCCTGGATGCTCCTCGAACAGCGCCCGCTCCTCTGGCGAGAGAGCATCAAGGTAGCTAAACTTCCGTTTGGCTCCCTGACCTCCCCCTCCAGCCTCCAGCTGCTCCGCCTGCTCTTACCTTCTCCCTGTCGTGGTCCGTATCCGTTGTCCTGATTCGTTGCGTTGTCGATTCATCGTGGTTTGTTGTTGTTGTTTTAGTATTTGTATTTGTATCCATCTTGTTGACGTAGGACCCATTGGCCAAGATAGTTTAATGAGCTTCAGGGCCTCAAAAGGCCTGTCTCTATCAACAATGGGGATAGATTATTAATTGAGGCATGCACTGCGACCATGGGTCTATTGTGCCCTCTCCTAACTCACAGGGACTCACTAAGCCCCAGCATATTGATAAAGTCCAATATCCTACTGGGTGCTAGCGAGGCAGTGTGATCCCTATCCGGAAACATGGATCCGAGGGCCTTCGACCTGCGCCTACAGACTGCGTTACAGTCGAATAGCAGGTGCTCCGGGGTTTCAGGCTCACTGTCGCAGAACCGACAGTTAGCGCAAGATGAAAGGCCCATGTTCGATAGATGCCTTTTTAGCTTACAGTGGCCGGTGTAGAATGCGACCAGGAGCCTGAGTTTATTTCTTGGGAGATTAATTATAGCCTCGAACCTCTTATGGTTATACCCCCAACTAACAGTTTGGCATGACGCATCCCATGCGCTCGCTGCCAATGTGTCTCCCTGCACGCTCTTTCCTCCTTGCGGAGCAGCTCCTTCACCGTATGGGGACCCACTCCAGTGAATGGTTCGGGCCCCACCATAGTAGTGGAGGCTGCGGAGCGGGCAAGCTCGTCAGCCAGTTCATTGCCGGCTATTCCCCTGTGACCAGGCACCCAGATCAGGTGTGTACCTGGTTCTTTTCGTTCAGCTAAGGCTTTAGCCTTTCTCACACTCCTGCACTAGTAGCGATTTGATCTCGTAAGAGGAGATCGCTTTTAGTGCCGCCTGGCTATCGCTGAGAATAGTTATTCGCTCATTCCGATAGTTGCGATGGAGGTTTATCTCTATACACCGACTTATGGCCAGAACTTCGGCCTGGAAAATGCTCGGAAAACTTCCCATCGGTATGGAGAGCTTGGTACGCGGACCTGCGATACCTGCACCGATTCCTTCCGACATTTTCGAGCCGTCGGTGTACCACCTCAATGTGCTATCCCTCAGCATTTGCTCAAGAGTGGGGTCGTTCCACTCACTCTTGCTACCAAGGGTAACCTTAAACTTCCTCGTGAAGTTAACGTTTTGGTACTGATGCCGTCCCTCGGGAGGAGGGCAATGGATATCGCCACTTATTCTCTCCATCCTCTGGGACGAGATTATTTGCCTTTGCCACCACCCTCTGCTGTTATCTGCAGAAGTGAGTGCTTGGCTACTTGACCTATTATTATATGGAGCGGTGTGAGTTCCATCAGGACCTCCAGAGCTGCCGTAGGGCAGGTCCGCATTGCTCCCGTCATGCACACACATGCTAACCGCTGAAGTCTAGCCAGTTGGGTTACCACCGAAGCCTGTGCCGCCACGGAGGCCCAGGATACCGCCCCGTATGTAGTAATCGGTCGGACAATCATGGTGTACAACCACCTAATGATCTTTGGCTTACAGCCCCAGGATCTACCCGCCAGCCGTTTGCATACCATCAGTGCTTTTGTTGCCTTGGCAACTGGTACAGAGCGTTTGGTTGATCTTGCTGCTTCCATCGCAAGCTGAGCAGAATCCAGAGTGAGACCTCAGCGCCGTCGACCTTATATTGTTGTCAATGATCTTTTCCATCTCTTCAGCAGGAAGGAGGTTAGACTGATCGGCCTGTGGGATTTGGCCAAAGGAGTCCTCCCTTCCTGCTTTTGGTATGAAGATCACCTCTGCCGTCCTCCATGGGTCCGGGATGTACGCCAGTGCAAGGCTCTCCCTTAGCAGCCGAACAAGGTGAGGTAGCAACAGCTGCTCGCCCTGTTGCAAAAACGCCGGGAAGATGCCATCCACCCCCGGAGACTTGAATTTTTCGAACGAGGCCATAGCCCACTTGATCGAGTCCCAGTCAGTAACTAGCTGTTTAGCGATTACCCAATCCAAGCGGGTTGGCCTATGTTCGCTCACAGGTAGACTCTGGTACACCGGGATGGTCTCCGGGAAGTGAGCACGCAGAAGCTCTGACGCCTGTCCTCCGCGCTGGTCGTAAACGTCCCGTCACTCCTTTTGATAGCCAGTTCCGTGTCATCTTCCCACTGGCCAGAGCTTTGTGCAGCCGCGCCGCTTCTGGTGTGGAGGAGACTTTTTCGCAGAAGCTCCTAAAACTGTGTTGTTTTGCTGACCTAATCTCTTTATTGTATAGAGTTAGGTAGCACCTGTACTCCTCCCAGACCCCTGTACGCTTCGCCTTGTTAAATAGGCTGCGTACCTTTTTCCTGAGGTCTGCGAGCTTTCTTGTCCACCAGGGACAGTTGCGTCTATCTGTGGGCGCTATTTGGGGGCAGCTATCATTGTAGGCTTTAGTGAATGATGACACATTTAGTGCCAACACCCTGCTCTCTATCCCCAGGCCCGTAACGCTATCATCGATCTGACCTGCCTTTGTAACCCTCCTTTAGTTTTCCCTGAAGGCACCCCAGTTTGTTCTTCGAGGGTTGCGTCTCGGGGGAAGTTGCCTGACCTTCACCTTCAGTGCGAACCTTATTATTCTGTGGTCTGACAGGGAGGGCTCCGTTGAAACCCTCCACCCTGAGACCCATCCGTTAGCATGCTCGCTGCTGAAGGTGATGTCCAGCACCTCCCTCCTGCTTATAGTTATAAAAGTGGGTTCACAACCCACATTCTCAATTGCTAAATTACTACCTAATACATACTCTAATAGAGACTCACCCCTTGCGTTGCAATCCGTGCTCCCCATTCCACGTGGTGAGCATTCGCATCACATCCGATGATGAGGGGCAGCCTGTGCCTCTTGCAGTACTCCACGAGCCTTTCCACCACCCCTCAGGGGGTGCCGCTGCTGTCTCCCCTGGGAAGTAGGCTGATGCCAGGACGAAGCTTTTGCCCTCCCAGTCTCTGGCCTGTACCGCCACCAAATCCTGCGTCAGGAACTCTGAAATGCAGAAGACATTGATATTATTCCTGACCACTATGCACGATCTAGGTCTCTCGCTGGAGATGTCCCAGATTACCTTGTTTTGTTCCGTCTTGAGGCCTTTGACCTCTCCTTTGTAGATCCAAGGTTCTTGGATCAACAGAACGCCCAACTTATCCGCTGTGAACCTGCTCGTAATCACCGCTGAGGCCCCCGCCGCGTGATGCAGGTTCACTTGGGCAACTTCCACGTCGACGGCCATTAAGGTAGTGGCTCGAGGGGGGGCATGTCCACATCCCCTCCGTCGTTCGCGCTGCTGTCCACTTGGTCGTGGTCCTCTAGTCCCTCGAGGAGTTCCTGGGTGGAGGGTAGCTCGGTTTCCTGGGCATCCAGGACGTCAGCGGTAGCGACCTTCGTGGTCTGCTCAACCCTGCTCACGCCCGGTTGTTTTGCCACGGCGTCCACCTGCATCCTCTCCATCTCCTTGCTTGCCATCGTTCCTGTCCGTGTTGACGCGCTACCACTCGGCTGGGTGGCAGTCTTCCCGTCCTCCTTGCTTCCTGTGGTCACGGGTTTGTGCGGCCTCATGACCACCATGCTGAACCTGTAAAACAGGCGGAAGCTCGCTGCACGTATGTACCTGTACGATTCATCATCTATGTACAGGTACAGTCTCCATCCTCGTAGATCTCCTTTGTCCTCCAGCTGGCTACTGACGACTCGCCAGGCCGCGATGCTAAGGCCCCGGTTTTGGTTCTTGATTAAGTTCAGGGCAAACTGGTACGGCTTGTCGTCGCTGCGGGGGAGGAACACCGTCATCCTGTGCATGACCGGCAGGTCCTCCGCCCTTTTTGCACAGAGGACTGGACCGGTCCAGCCACTTAACTTTGGGGTAAATTCCCGCAGCCAGTCGGCGGACGCCTGGTCATTGCAGTCCACCTGTAGCATGCCACCTCTAAATTCAACTCCGAGAAAGGACGCCGCGTATTCAGCTCCGCCGGCTACCTCTTCCAGGAGGAGGTTTTGGAGCACCGTGAGCTGCTCCGACTCCAACGACACCGCCGGGTAGGCTTGAGGCAGTACAGCCATGCGGATGCCTTTGACAGCGTCCGCATACCTGCGCCGCCCCTCCTCCCACCCGGGGGGAGCCGGTGCTGATGGTTGTCCTTCGGCTCTCCTGCTGCTGTCCCTCAGCCTTTTCGAACTGGGGGCGCCTGTGGTGTCAGTTGACCGCTCTTCCTCTTTACGGTCTCTGCAAAGGTGACCGCCTTCCCGTCACCGCGCTTTTCGGTCAGTGATGCACTAACCTGGCCACGGTCTATAGACCGGCTGCCTTGCGCACTTTCCGACGCTGCTTTGCCCCGTTCCCTTGTTGGGGATATCGCGGTATCCGCGTACCGTCGCTTGGCCAGGGATTCCGCCGCTTCGGGGGTCATCCCATCCCGGAGGTACCGCAGATACCACTTCAGGCAGGCACCGCTCATGGCCTTCTTCCGAGGGTCATCATACCCGCCGTGTCTGTCCGCCGTTGGGAGAGATCTCTGCCCTCCCCCCTCTGCGCCTCCTTCTTCTCCTGCGTGCGCCACCGGCCTCTGCCCGATGCGACTCTCCCGAGTCCGAGTGGCTAGGCCTATTTCGGTGGGTCCTGGTGGTGCCTTGGGCTGCATCAGCGGTCTTGACGTCTGTTGAGCGGCGGGCGCCGCTGCTAGAGGGCATGTCGTCTTCGTCCTCCCTGGCATGCTCCTCGAACAGCGCCCGCTCCTCTCTCTGGCGAGAGAGCATCAAGGTAGCTAAACTTCCGTTTGGCTCCCTGACCTCCCCGGCCTCCAGCTGCTCCGCCTGCTCTTACCTTCTCCCTGTCGTGGTCCGTATCCGTTGTCCTGATTCGTTGCGTTGTCATCCTGCGTCAGGAACTCTGAAATGCAGAAGACATCAATATTATTCCTGACCACTATGCACGATCTAGGTCTCTCGCTGGAGAGATCCCAGATTACCTTGTTTTGCCTCCGTCTTGAGGCCTTTACCTCTCCTCTGTAGACCCAAGGCTCTTGGATCAGCAGTGATGCCCAGTTTATCCGCTGTGAACCTGCTCGTAATGACAGCTGAGGCTGCCGCCGCGTGATGCAGGTTCACTTGGGCAATTTCCATGTTGACGGCTATCATAGTATGGGCTCGAGGAAAGAGAGCCTCTGCCCCGCCGTCAACCGCACTGCTGTCCATTGGGCGTCTCCTAGTCCCTCTAGGAGCTCCTGCGTGGAGGGTAGCTCCGTGTTCCCTGGGCATCCAGGACGTCAGTGGTCGTTGCTGCCAACTGCCTGTCCAGACCTTGCTTGCGCAGGGCTGCTCCGACAACTCGTCCACCTCCATCCGTGCTACCAACGGGGCGGACTCTGGCACTGCCTGGTTATCGACGCCCTTGTCCTGTGTCGCAGGCGTTTTGCTTCCTTGCTCGCGGTGTCAGCAGGCTTGTGGGGCCGCATGACCACCGTGCTAAACCTGTAAAACAGGCGGAAGCTCGCTGCCCGGACGTACTTGTACGATTCGTCGTCTATGTACAGGTGTAACAGTCTCCATCCTCGTATGTCGCCTAGCTTTTCCTTTCCTTGCTGCTACTGACAACACACCAGGCCGAGATACTGAGTCCCCGGTTCTGGTTCCTCACCAGGCTCAAGGCGTACTCATAGGTCCTGTCCCCGCTCCGAGGGAGGAACATTGTCATGCTGTGCATGATTGGCACATCCTCCACCCTCTTCGCGCAGAGGACAGGGCCCGTCCAGCCACTTCCCAGCTTTGGAGCGTGCTCCCTCAGCCAGTCGGCGGACGACTCGTCCAGGCAGTCCACCTGCATCATGCCTCCCTGAAGTCGATGCCCAGGAAGGACGCCGTGTAGTCCTCTCCTTTGGACGCCTCGTCCATCAGGATGTCCTGAAGCACGGTGAGCTCCTCCGGTTTCAGCGACTCCGCCGGGTATTTGAAAGGCAGAACAGCCATGCGGATGCCTCTGACAGCATCCGCATATCCGCGCCGCCCCTCCTCCACCCGGTGAGGAGCCGGTCCAGATGGTTGGCCCCCGGCTGCCTTTGTATCTGTGCCTCGCACCCTTTTGGATCGGGGGGCTCCTGCGGCGTGATTTGGCCGCTCTTCCTTTTTCCGGCTTGGGCGTACGTGCCCGCGGGCGCTGCCCTGCTGTCGCCACGCCTTACGGTCCGTGTGCTGACCGGGCCACGGTTGCTGTTACCGCTGCCTTGCGCGCGAGCTGGCACGTTGCTGTCGTTCCCCTTTGCTGGGATGCGTTGCTCCCTTGGCTCTTGCTCCTGGCTAGAGCCTCCGCTGCCTCCGGGTTTCATTCCCATCACGGAGGTGCCGTAGGTACCACTTCATGGTGGAACCACTCATGCCTTCCTGTGAGGGTCGTCGCACCCGCCGGGTTGGCCAGCTTCTGGGAGGGGGCGTTGCCCACCTCTTCTGCGCCTCTCCCTCCTTCTCCTTCGAGCGCCGTCAGGCTCTGCCCGATGCGACTCGCCCGAGGCCGACCCACTACCGCCTGCCGGCGGGGGTCTTGGTGCCTCGTTGCTGCTGCAGCGGCACCAGGCGTTACCACCAGGCGAGCGCCGCCGCTGCAAGAGGGCATGTCGTCGTCATCCTCCCTGGCGTGCTCCTCAAACAGCGCCCGCTCCTCTGGCGAGAGAGCGTCGAGGAAGCTAAACTTCCGCCTAGCCCCTCGACCTCCCCTGCCTTCCACTGCTCCGCTCTCCTCTTTTCTCCGTGTCCGTTGTCCTTGTTGTCGTTGCCTTGTCCGTTGTCCAGTTTTGTTGTTGTTGTTTTTTGTTTTTGTTGTTGTTGTTGTCATCTTGTTCTTACGACCCTTGGCTCAACAGGGTGAGCTGTCGGGTCTATGTCTTTTTAAGGGGAACTAGGAAAGGTCCGCCACGCCAGAGCCCCTTGACGCGGTAAGGCCACCGTTACTTCCCAATTCGGCCCGGTGTTGGGAAGGCTCCGTTAGAATACAGCCGAATTTACCTCCTGGCTGCAAATCATCCAATGGGCACGGGAGTCGCATAACACCCTGGATTAGGAGGTGGTAGCTCTTGGTTAGCGCACGCATGCGGCACCCGACATCCTGCCTGGGCGTGCTCAACAGCACCATCCACACCGGTTGGGGGAGAGATGCCGAGTATGCCTTGCGACT